TCTTTTTTTGGGTTTTTTTTTATTTTTTATTTCGCTCTTTTCCCTTTTTCCTCTTTTGCTCATTTCCCCTTTTTAGTTATAGTTCGTTTTCGTTTTTTATAGAATTTTTTTTTGGATAATTCCAGTCATCTGTAATCTGGTAGGACGGAGTCATTCATAGGCCTGAGTTAGGTTTCGCACCACGATATGGAACCGTGTAATGTCGGACTTCTTATTTGAAATTTATGTATTTATAGTTTTTATAAATATTAATAAATAAAATTAGTCACGGCGAGACCTGTCAACATTTAAAAAAAAAAAATTGGCTATCAATAAGAAATCTAACTTCTCAACAAAAAACATCGACAATGTCTAATGTCTGTGTCACCTGTAGCAAGTAATATATATGAACAAAATTAGTAAACATGAACATGTTTATAGACAATGTCCGATATTCAAGCATGTTATTGGCTATTAATAAGAAATTTAACTTCCCAACAACTTACTATATATTACAAAAAAAATTAACAATATCCAATGTCTATGTCCCTTGTGGCAAGTAATATATATGGACAAATGTTCAATAAAATTAGTAGACATGGACATCATAGACAATGTTTGATGTCCAAGTAAGTTATTGGCTATCTATAAGAAATCTAACTTCCTGACAACTTACTGTATATTACAAGAAACATTGACAATGTCCAATGTTTATGTTTCCTGCAACAAGTAATATACATAGACTAGAGTGTCCAAAGTACTGCAATACATAATTCTGCTCATGCTAAAAATAATTTTTTTATATTGTTTTTATAAGAGATACATAATTTAACCCACCTTTTAAATCAAATTACAATGTAAAAAAGTATTTTTAGCATATGCAGAATTATGCACTGCAGTACCCTAGACACTCTAACATAGACAAATGTTCAATTATATTTAATATAACTTACTATTTAAGTTGTTTTATTTATTGCAACTCAATATATCATGTGAACATTGCATAAAAGTTTAATTTTTTTATTTGTGTAATTATTAAAATTAAATGTGATAGTTGCTAACTGTGGGTGAGACTTGTATTGAACTAGCAGCAAAGACAAAAGAAGAGGGAGAACAGATTTTTATTTTTTCCCCCTTATATAGCTATTTACTATGACCTCATACTACATTCTCTCAATCATCCAAATCATACTCAACCCAAATACATCATACTTACAAATTGCTTATTGCCATCACTTAATCAATACTTATCACATAATATATTATACTTACAATTCACTTATAATTATCAATCTATTACGGTGTATAAGTAGACAATTTGTTACCAAATCCAAGCATTTGGTTTCCAAAATTAACTTTAGTTACCGAATTATATATTAATCAATCAATATTAAACTCGAAAAAAACCCCAAAAAAAGAAAAAACAGGAAAAAATAAAAAAATTTTTATAGAACCAGGATAAAGTATAAAGAGGGATTTCACCTCTCTATCTAATAAGAATGCACTATTATAACCTGTGCAAAGCTAAAAAATTATATAACAAATGCAACGATTGTATATCTCTACTGTAAAGCTTTGCCTTAGCATAAAAAGTTCTTTCGACTTATGACTGTTTTCGGATATCTCTTTAACCGGAGGTCCTGATCCAACTTCCCTGGAGTAGCACCGTATTTATAAACAGACACGTCACGTGGTTGTATTCTACTGAGTCCGTCCGAATTTGGAAAGTAAACAATGCCGATCTTTTGGAGGGGTAAGCCAAATCCCCACTTTTTGTAAAAAATTTTGGAAGACCGATGGGAGGGCAAGAAAAAGAAAGAGAAGAGTCACCAAACCCAAAAAAAAGAGTGTGACTTTAGAAAAAAAAAGTTTTGTTGTTTTCCCTGTGTTCTTCTTTGAAGTAACGATCTAAAAACTTTGTTGACAAAGTTAAGCTTTTTGCTCACACTTCACCAAGATTTTATATACAAGGGTGCCTCTTGCCAGTTATCTTGTATAGTAACGCTCCTGGCTTGCATGCCAAATGTCTTTTTAGAGGAGTCTTGAAAGACAAATAATGTTGACCTCTAGACAAATCACAACATAGGCCACGACTCTCCAACAAAAAATTTGGGTTTCTTTTAGTAGGAAAATTTGGTTTTAGTGATTATTGAAAAAAGTTTTTTGAAGTATATATCAATTAAAGTTGTTATTTTTTTTAATTAAATAATAAAAAAATTATATAATAACAATAATAAAATAATAATAAAATGATAATTTAAAAATAATCAAATTAAGGCTTTATATTAGACATTCTATTTTTAACCTTTTTTTATTAAATTTTATTTAGATATTGGTTGACCATCTGCATAGAAACTTTCTGTTTCAATTTAGAATAATAAGGGTCTTTGTGTCATAATTTAGATGATCCAACAGGAAATCAATATTGATACTTGTATTGATCTAATTCATCCCTTTCAAAAATAAAATTTGAGATGTTAGTAAAGCACGAGATAAATATACCAAATAACAGTAATCATAAATTATTAAAATAAAAAAAATATATATTTTTTTATATATAAAAAAAAATTATTTTATTTTATATTCGTATTATGTATAAAACAATCAAAAGTAATACAGCATGGCTTTTAAAATAAAGCTTGTATCTGTGAAAAATTTGGCCTATTAGTACTTTCTAAGGTTTTTATATCCGAAAGCTATACTATTTACGAATCAAATAAAAAAAAAACTAAATAGATACACTAGGAATTGCATGAAATAATACAATTTAACTAAAAAAATTTTTTGCTCCATTACTTATGATCGCCACTGTAGATATAGATATAAAAATCCGTGTAACAACAAAATAATCTATCCAATAAGCTACGAACCACGTTGATCAATCAACACGTGAAATATTAACGTAACTAGTACTATAGAAAAAAATTAAAAAATTTTACATTCAACGTCAATATTCAGTATTCAGATGATACTATCATAGATAGTAAAAAGCTTGTTAATTTGAGACATCAGGCCTTTTTTTATTTTTATTTTTTTTGTAATTTAATATAAGAGTCTACAGTATTTTGATATTTTTCAGAGCTAAAATGTTAATTCGAAGCGATTTTAAATAAAGCATGAACAAAAAAAAAGTATCAGATCATTGATTTATTTGCATTGAGAATTTTCCCCCAGAAATTAATATATATAAAAAAAAAATAAAAAAAAGATAATACGATGAAACGAAATTTTTTTATCCAGCCATTGTTAATGTTCAACATTTGTTTGAACGAATAAATCTAATTTGAAGATATTGAAAAAAAGATTTCCATCTAACATACTGAAACCAGTTCAGATAAAAAAACGATTCTATGATACAAAGTCAGATCTAATATTTCGGCAAGAAATATAAATCAAAAAAAAAAAAAAAAACCATCAAATACTACAAAATATGTAAAATATGTATATATTTTAAGAAGTGAGATTTTTTCTCTTCTTAAGTTGTTTAATTTCATTATCTTCTAAAATATGACGCTTTTTTTGACCATCTTCACAATGATTACAAGAATCAGAAATTTGAACATTCATATCATCATCTGAATCATCATTACTAATTGGTATATTAATTCCACCATTATACTTTCCAGGAATATGGAATAATTCTACAGGAAGATCAGGATTTGTAGAAGCTTTGTGTAAGGTTATTAATTCTGGAATCTTCATATAATTACTGTTAATTTTGCTACAAAAGTTATACATTTCAATTTCTAGATCACGAATTGGATATTTTCGAGCTAGATTCTCAAAATGTTGTTCGAGTTTTCCTTTGACATTTAGAAACTAAAGTATAAAAAAAGTTTTATTTAATAAAATTTAATATTAAAAATAAAAGAAATAAAGAAATAAAAAAAATTTTAATTAATATTAATTAAAAATTAAAAAACAAAAAAATAGAAAAACAAACCTCTTCCATTCTAGCTTTTTTCTTTTGACGAAATTCATCCAAGTAAGGTGTACGTTGCCATAGCAAGTAATCATCAGCACGATTCGCAGCAAAATGTGAATCATCATCATCATCACTTTCTGAGTCATCAGAATGATAGTCTGATGGATCAATATCTCCGTAAGAAAATATTTCTAATAAGGTATCAATTGAGCTGTATGAATCGCAAAAATAGCATTCTATCGCGGCCTTTTTAAGAATGAAAAAAGATTTAATAAATTTAACAATACTATATATAAATACAGTACTATATGCAATACTGTATGTAATACTATATGTAATACTATACAGCTATATATGTGTATATATATATATTTTTTAAAAAAATACCTGAGTGAGCAAATCCAATAATAAATCATACCAAAGTGGTTTAATCAAAGAGTAATCATTATCAAAATCCAATTGTTCGTTAGCTATTCGATAAGTGATAACACTAGTATGTATAAAAACAGGAATTGCATCGATCAAACCCGTAGCGGTTTTACGAGACGGAATAGGTTTTGGAGGAGTAGTTCTTCTACGAGACCATGGAGTTATTGTAGAAGAATTATCAGGATGTTGTAAACACGCGCTACAAATCTTTAATCTATGTTTTCGACATCGAGATAATAAGGGATTTTTAAAATGCTTTTCATATTTTAAAAGATTTGCAGGTAATTTAGAAGATTTTTGCTTTTGAGAAACTGAAGATGGTGGAGTGGGAGAAGCAAATTGAGAATAAGCAGAATTTGTAGAAGAATTTTGATACGGAGCACGCGTGGACCTTATCGGAAAGGAGGTAGTCAATGATATGGTTGACCGATCAAATACCAAATGTAATAATTGACATAGATATAAACGATGTTTGAGAGATAAAGGCAATTTTATCGAAGACTCATGAATCCGATGTGATTGCAATAAACCTATAAAAGTAACAAAAGAAAATAAATAAACGTTAAGATTATAAATAAATAAATAAATAAAATGGAAAGGTTTATAAAACTCTGATAAAAAAATTATAAAAAATTATAAAAAATTTAAAGAAAGAATACCTTCAACAATTGGTTTGACATCTTGGCCTTTTTTGCAGTAAAAAGTAGCAGATTGTAGTTGTTCTTCGGTCATATATTGTAAATCGTTCTTTGCTTGTTCAAGTCTTGCATTAATAGACAAATATAACAAATAATCAAGAATGACATTTGTAGTGGATATAGTTGAAGAAGGACGCCGATTAATAGACATCGAATTAAGAGATTTATCAATGGTAGTGGTTATAGAGTGGTTGATAGATTAAGAAGTTGAAATTAGTCCTGCGCGGAGGGAAAAGTATCTATTCTAAAATTTGAAGTAGAAAAGAGAAGAATTGATCATGTTACCAACACAAATGATATTATCTAAATGACCCATTTTAATAAAAATTTAAATCCAAGTAGTTACCAAATAAATCTAACAACTTACACACGACTTTAATTAACTTTTGTGATTTTTTTTTACACAGTAGATAAGATTTTTATTACAAGTATGGTCAGTAAAAGAAATTAAGAACCTTTAACGATTTTATGTATACATATATATATATTTTTAAATATATATTGTATAAATATTATATATATAATTTATATATATTATATTTAAAAAAAAATAAAATAAACAAATTCGGGTTACATAAACCATTTATATATTTTCCGGGAAAATATAAAAGTACGTACATACGTACTTTTGTAGTTTAAAAAAAAAACTTATCAGTCACAAAATAGGAAATTCAACCAAACTTACTTGTAATTACACACCTTATAATGTAAGGAAAAATTCGGATGTTCGGGACAATTTGACATATTCAATTAATCAATGATCAATAAAATTCCGTTATCCGTTTCATCTACCCGTTTTTTTGAGGAACCGTTTGGGACAGGCATCGGAGATAAGATAATTTATTATTATTATTATTATTATTATTATTATTATCGAATGAACAACAAAACCGGTAGCCTCAATCGGATGCCAAAGGTCGGTTACAAGGGATTTATGCACATAAATACACCATACACTGATGCATTCAGTTCCGTACGATACGTATAAAATCCTGAAAGTCTAGAATTTACAATTGTATATTTATTGTTTTTTTTTGGTACGTACGTAAGTTACAGGACGTATGTATATACTCGTATCATATGATGCAGATGATAAAAGAAAAACGAGTTTTAAATCATTAAATCAATCAGAAAAATCAGAAACAATCAAAAAAAAAACCCCAATAAGACATTTTCATATTAGGTAGGCTAAGTAGATAATACTTGAACCGCCCCTGCAAGTTAGATTAGAAGCAGACACAGATTGTAAAAATATCGGAAAAGATAACAAATTCAGGGTACCGGTGCCGGAACGTGGAATTCAAATGATTGTCCCCACAATTTGAGGTGACCAAATACGGAATATGTAAAAAAAAGAAAAAATAAAATAAAATAAAAAAATAAAAATAAAAAAATAAAAATAAAAAGAAAAAAAGTGCGGGAAGAAACGCGGTATCACCGGTTAATAAAATGACAATTAATATGATTAACCTGCTTGGTGATATCAGAATATCCTACAAACATAAATAAATACTAAAGACAGCTAAAGTTGATAAGACAAACAGGAATTTTCTGGATATTTGGGATTTAATGCTGCCGGCTAAATGTTACTTGATATGCATTACATACAATAAACAAATCAACCTTTTTGTCGATTATTGATCGAAAAAGTGACCTGATTTTTAGTTTCTGTCGTATGTTGTCTTATGTGTGATAACTGTAATAAATAACTACCATATCAGTTATAATGATTATAATGATAGTAAAATAACCGTAAATAAATACTGAAAATAAATAATAGTAATAAAATTGTAAATAAACACACATGACTTTATTATAGAAATTTTCTACAGTATATTTTCTATCAGATCCTTCACATTTTCTATCAGATCCTAAATTTTGTTTCTCTACATAAAAAATTAAAAATTTTGGTCCAATAGGATCATTGATATCATAATATTGATGTAGTCCTTTTTGATTAAGTCTTTTGAACATATTTAACATGCTTAATGCAGGTTCGATAAAAGATAACATCATCAGATTTACTGTACGCCATAATTGTTTCTATTCATTTTGTCGTTCGATTATCAATTTTTTGTACTCTATTAACGGGAGAACATGTAATAATCCCGGTTGCTTCCCGTTGCAGGTTTCATGTGTTCCGTTAAAAGCAAAACAAACAGTTACGAAAATACCCATCGATTCCGTAATTTTCCATAAATCTTCCATAATCCTTCCTTATAAATTTTCGTACAATTTTTTTTGAGAAAAAAAAATGCTCACGCCTCCACAAATTTCTCCACTTATTTGTAACTTTCTTCCTATTTCATATGTTGTTTTTTTTTCTTCATCTTTATTCTTTATTCATCACTTGAAATGTTTTAAACACTTGTAACTATGATTCACTTTTACGGCTTTGTCTGACGATCACCTATATAACTATATATACCGATATAAACTGATAGGAATTATGATAGGTGATGTAAATCTTGATAAACTTTCTGTTAAAAACGGAGATAAAATAAAAATCATGGTACAACGACAATGCCACATAATCTAAAATGTATATAACACTGATAAGGAAAACGCAGTTGATCTCAAGTAAATTACGTGTCACAATTTTTTATAGTATTATAATCCGCAGAAAACGCCATTAAGCATACAATGAGTCTACTGTATTTTTAACTTTGAAAATGCAGAAATAACGATAATACATAGATACTGTACGTACGTACATACCTACGTATTTATTATCTACGTATTTATTATATATATATGTATGTATGTACCTCACCTACGTATTTTATGTACATACCCTGATACTTACTGATCCTGTTATGTACTTATGGATTGTAAATGCCTACGTACAATTAATTCTCTAAATTAATCCTCTAAATTAATTCCTATATTATACGTAAAAAATTATTTCCGTACCTTTTTCATTGATTCTCATGTTCTTTCGAACGTTGAAATAATCGAATGATTGGGATGATACATTGTACCTGATAGGTTACTTATTGTCCCATTAGGTTATTTGTCGATCTTTCTGCACAAAATTTGCCAATCATCTTTTAAGATGTCCGTAATTTGTGATTCGCAAGCTTCACGTGAAATTGTAGATCTCATATCTTATCACCTTCCGGGTTTTCCGATTAAAAATCTTTCGTCACTCATTTGTACTTGTGTCAACCTACTTAATAATCTTGTACTTTTTCATTCTCACTGCA